CCCCCCGGCCGGCCCGATGGTTCGCTCCGCGGCGCGCACTGGAGCCCGCAGGGCCGGCTCGGAGCGCGCGCCCCCGGGAAGCCCTGCGAGTTTGGGGTGCTGGAGCCGGCGTGGGGTGCTGGCCTTTGTGTGCGCGGGTTTTCCCCCGGGGGCTCGCGTGGGCATCCTGCAGGAACACTTTGTAGAGAAGTACCTAGGGCCTCACACAGGCAGCACTTCAGTTTTTTTCCGAAGAGAGGAACCAGGAAAATCCCAAAGTTTTCAGTCCTGTCTAGCGGCCTGCCCGGCCGGCCAACACACACACGGTGTTGCACCCCAAAGTTCTCAGCCCAACAACTGCTCACCCGAATCCCGAGGGTACGAGAGGTCCTCAGAATGTTCACAGGAGGATCTGTATACCTTTTAATTCAATTTTTCCACGAGCTTTTGGAAGCACGCTGATATAAGATATTCATATTAAATATTAAAACGGGACTTTTCAGGACAATAAACTCCAGGTTACCTCTCTGGCACATTTCCAACAACTGCAATAAACAGATCGAAACTCCTCCCACGTCACCAGCTGATAAAGGCTACCAGTAGGTCACAAATGCCTATCCGGCAGGAGTCATCTTAATCCACTCAGTATATTTATTCGTTTCAGTGTCCTCGATGTACAAAGAATTGTACAATTTAAATAAAAGTGTCTCATTTAGGAGCATATAAATTACCCGGAGAGTCAAGGCTGTCTGGTTAGCTCAGTTGGTTAGAGTGTGGTGTTATAACACTAAGGTCAAGGGTTTGAATCCCCAAAGGGGCCAGCCGCTAAATAAATAAGTTTCTCGGAGAATCACACAGGTACACTGGTTAAAAATATAACTGTGGGTTTGAAACCCAAAAAAAAACCATATTTTAAATAAATAAGTCGTTGTCCACGCTGCTTTTCTCTTAAGTTGGAAGCAAAACTCAACCTAGGCTCACAAGTAGAAGGTAAAAGGTCTGGTCCACCCCCGTGAAGAGACACAGATGCTGGGCTTTCTCCCTGAAAAGTTGCTTCACTTCCTGCCTAATCAAAACAAGTTTGGCAGTTTATGTGGAAAAACAAGTTCTGCAGATGCTTCTCTGAAAGTGTTATATGTCTCTGGCCTCCTTTGCAGTAGCTAAGCCTTGCTTCTGAATAAAAAGCACTGTAACATTTCTCACTTGACCTCAAATCTCCAAACTTTAAACACTCTGGTTGTATTCCTGATGTAAGGTGTTACTCTACTGATCTAAGCACCTATTCGGTTTCCCAAATTAGGTGGTGCTGACTAATAATAATAATGACAGCATTTGTGAACGGGTCACACCTTAGTGATGTGAACTTATACCACTAGCATTTAAAAAGAAAGAAAAGAATCCAGAATGTAGCAATTATATCTGCTTAATGCATCCCTTTTGGTCTCTAGAGCTGTGCTGTCCAATGTGACCACTGCCACCTGCGCATATTTACATTAAAATTTAAATTAACTGAAATTAAAGGAAATGGAAAATTCAGTTTCTCAGTCACACTAATCACATTTCAAGTGCTCAGTAGCCACATGTGGCTAATGGCTACCATATTGGACAGCACATACGCAGGATATTTCTATCATTGCAGAAAGTTCTATTGGACTATGCTGCTTCTAATAATGAAATACTAGAATACAATTCTCTGGCACAACACCTGACAGATAAGCACACAATAAAATGGTTGTTGAAAAACATGATTCGATTGATACACCGGCTTTGCTGGTGGCAGTATAAATCAACACAACTCTGGAGAAGCAATTTAGTAGTATATATTTTTCACATGTGGGGTTGCACATTTTAACCCCACTCTTGGAATTTGTTTATCCAAAGAACTTTTATCCAACAAGTACTACTTACTGAACCCCTCTGTCAACCCTCTGATAAAATACTCAGACTCCTGTGTAAAGTAATCCTGCCGACGATGCCAATTGCAAAGTAAGGCAAATCATAACTAAAGCCAAAATGTTTCATTATTTTAGTTATACTAAGTTTCCATTTATATTGTCAGAGCTAGGGCTCAGACCCTCCAAACCCATTGTACAGACTGGGTCCCCAGACCCCTCACACACAGGTCCATGCTAGGGAATTGGGAAAGATTCCAGGAGCTGTTGGCAGATGACATGAGCTCAGTCCTCAGCTTCCTCAGTGGCAGCAGCTTACAGGTCCAGCAGTGGCAGTGGCCTTGCAGACGGTCCTGGGGGCACTAGCAGCAGCCTCCAGCAGCAGTAGTGGCCTCCCCATGCCCCCCACTCTGGGGGCATCCCAGGGATGGGAGGCACCATGGAGCAGAGTGACTCATCCTTATACTTAAGTCCATAACCCAGGACACCTGGGTGCACATGCGCAATTACATTAGACAATAACCAAGGAATACCTGAGTGCATATGCCTGTTTACATTAAATGCTCGGCCTGATTCTGAACATCTGAGGGGCCCTGACCATTTTTCCTATATTTTCCCAACATCCTGCCTCAGGGAGCTCAGTCTCTTACAGTAGACAATCAGCAAGCAATGAGAAACTGTGTAAGTGCTGAGATTCTTGGCAGGCTCAGGTTGGTCTGGGGGCTCCTAAAATGGGAGAATAGGGTTTAGGAAGGGCTTTCCAGAGAAAGGATTGCTTATGCATTCTAAAGAAGAATGACTTTGAGACAAATAGAGGGAAAAAGACTTCCAGGTGAAGGGAATAAATAACATGTGGACGGGCCGGCCCGGTGGCGCACTGCTGTAGTGCGCCGCTTGAGAAGCGTGGTGGCACTCCCGCCGAGGGTTCGGATCCCGCATGCAGACCGGCCGCTCACTGGCTGAGCGAGGGGCGGGAGCAGCACCGAGGGTTGCGATCCCGTGGCCGGTTCTGGTCCGCTATGGCGTCGACACTGAGGGTTGCGATCCGTTGCCGGGCACGAAAAAAGACAAAAAGGAAAAAATAAAAAAATAAAAATAACATGTGGAGAAGCAAGGAATGAAGACAGCAGGCTTACTCTTGAGGTGCCAGGAGATGAGGTTGCCCAGGTAGGCAGGTACTGTGTTCTGAACACAGAAGTGTGATTAGATTGGCATTTTATAAAGATTACTCTGGCAGATGGATTTGTGTCAGAAAGAATGACAAGACCAGCAAAAACTGCATTTCTGTGGGAATGCAGGTGAGAGATGACCTAGCTATGAAGTTATGCAGTGTTAGACAAAAGGGAGCCAGATTCAAGAGAAACAAGGAAGTGGACCGGCAGGCTGGATGACTGCCTGATTAGATAAGGGAAGTCAAAGAGGGAAGTGAGTCTAGGATGACTGCAGGTTTCTGGCTTAGTTAACTAAGTGATGACGGTGCTTTCACCAAAAGAGAGAACACAGGAGTCGGAGCAGATCTTGGGAGGAGCTTGAGGATGGATGACGAATTTAGTTACGGGCTGATTTTTAAGGGCTATGGGTCATCCAGGTGGAGATGTACAGTAATTTAACAAATATTTATTTATCAAGTATCTCCTCTGTGGTTGGCATTGATGAATATTTGGGTAGAGAGATTTGGCACGGAGGAAGAGATATGGAAATCACCAACGCATCATGAAAGTTGAGGTCATGGGAGGGGATGAGACTACTCAGAGACCTGATACAGACTGAGGCAAGAAAGGACTAAGGACAGGAACCTGGGAATGCCAATATTTAGGAAGCAAGCTCCAGTCTTTGGAACACAGACCAGAGAGAAACTGCCAGAAAGGGAAGAAAGAACCTCCTGGAGAAGAGTGTCCAAAAAGCCAAAGGAAGAAGGAATTTCAGGAAGGGGAGAGTAGCTAACAACATGGAACTTGGAGGTCAATTAAGATAAAAGCCGAAGATGCTCATTAAGTAGAGGACCACTGCTTATCTTGCCCAGACCTGTTTCAGTGGAAAGATGGGACTGGAGGTCAGATTACAGTGGGCGGCTGGGTGTGAGGCAGCACTTCATTGTATGCCTGTTTCTAATAATGAAAGACGGAAACCATCAATGTCCAATGATAGAGAGCTATTAATTACAGTAAATCAAGTTAATCAGCATAGCAAATCATCACTTAAAAGTGGAATAAGGAAGTCTATATAATAATGAGAATAATGATATAATTATCAACAAAAAACCCCACAAACTTTATCTAATATATGATGGCAACAATGATGAAATTATGAAAAATATATAGAAGTATTGGAAAGTATATAAGAAAAATGATTTGATGAGAAAAAAGAATTGTGCGTATACTTTTCTCTCTCTCTCTCTCTTTTTTTTTTTTGGTGGCTGGCCTGTACAGGGATCTGAACCCTTGACCTTGGTATTACAACACCACGCTCTAACCAACTGAGCTCACCATTCAGGCCACTTTTCTTTTTAAATTGTTGTTTGTGTAACAGACAAGTATTTTTCCAACATTTTTCAGTGTGTATTACAATATATAAGTTTTCTGAAACAGGTGGGTCAGACGACCTCTAATAAATGTGATAAACCAAATGCCTTTTAGTCATATTT